ATTTGTCTAATTTATAAAATTCTTTTTTAGAGTTTTTACAAACCGTATAGAGGGTAAAATTTTTGCTATGAAAAAAAAGAACTACTTTTTTTAAGCCAGACTTGATTATTTTCTTTGCCCCTGAGAGAGTGCACCGTGATCAAAGTCCACTGTCTTTTCAATGTCAGCAAATTTTCTGTCTTCGAATAAGATAAAATTATGCTTCTTGGCTATTTCTTGTAAGGGGCCAATCAAATTTGGATGAAAGTCTTCCATAACGTCTATATGTGTTTTAAGGGCACATAATACTTGGACCCACTTTTTCTGCTAAATTTAATAAGTCAGTTTAGTGCAACAGATCTGCCGCTGCGCATAGTGTTGATTGTTTTGTCTGCATTATTTGGAACAGCTTTTGTGCAACGGGGTTTTTCGCTTTTAGAACTCTGGATTTAAATGACACATTAAGCCGATTTTCTGTAATTGTGTTCCAAGCTTTTTTATCACCTTTCGTTAAAGCCAAATAGCTTATTTATTATTTTTTATTATATTTGATTATTTTCTTGTTTAAATAAATATGGTGAGTAGGTGGTAGCAGTATAACGTGATACCAAAATATGGGAGACACCGAGCTTCAAAATTCACAACCTACAATAACCAATGGCAGCAGACACTTTTTAATGGTCCTTTTCTATTCCACATATGGGCCTTCATATGAGTTAGTAGTATGTATAGTTTCTCATAACATCCCTATATGAATTGAATAAAATTTAATAATAATTATATATTATATATTAATCAATAAAAGTATTTTTAAATTAGTTTTTAATAATAATGCAAATAATTTTGTAAAGTTAGTTTTCTATTCATGTACTAGCATGTTTATGAAGACATAAAACCTTATTTATTTGAGTTTTTACATTTCCAAGGCAATACATAAATCAATACTATTTTTAGAAATGATTAAATAGTATAATTTGTTTTTTCATAAAATCTAATATAAATACATTTTTTGCAAAGTGTATTGAACAAATATTTATTAATCATAAACATTTATGTTTTATAATATTATAAAGATTACCTCAAATATAACTTTAAAAAAATTAAACACTGAAATAGTAGAGAAAATCTCCCGATGATACACAATTAAAACGTTAGGGGAGAGGGGGGCAAGTTGTTACACGGGCAAGTTGTTACACAATTATTTTAAAACGCAGCAAGTATCATGAGTTGCCGATATTTTATGGAAAGTTGGGTCAACCGACCCGTCATCTGTGAACTGATATTGATACTCAAGTCAGACATCCATCATAGTGTTATTGCTTAGAATGTGTAGAATGTTTCGGGTCTAAAACTGTACCGTTGTCAGGTGGCTTTTGTTTTTATTTGTGAGAAATTGGTAAGTAGTAAATATATATATATACATATATATATATATATATATATATATATATATATATATATATATATGTATTATATAGTTTTGAAGCGTATATATTTCTCGTTATTGGCATGCTATTGTTAGTAATTGATTCCTAATATTTACCAAAAAACGTTGACTTAACCTCATTTCGTATACGTGGGGCCAGTTGTTACAATAATCTGGGGCCAGGTTATTACTGTAACAACTTGCCCCGAACACGTTAATGTAAGAATATATCGAAATACCTACAATGGTTACAATATGGTTACCATAATTTATGATTTCACTAAAAATCCAATATTATGATCAGACATATTTTGTAGATAGTAATTTGTTTGTAATGAATAGCATACCTACCTACATTTATTTTCGCAAAGCATGTTAGAAACACAGAATAGGTTTTTTTAAATTTTTCTATCATGAAATTGTTTTGGTTGTTTTCAGATAGCTTAACATGGTGCAAACGTATACCAAGAAAACCACAAGGGGTATTATTCCAACCGAACAATTTGAAAGGGCAACGCAATCGGTTTTACAAGAACACTTGTCAATTAGGGATGCTGCTACTCGCTATGGAGTTAATTTTATGACATTGCACCGCTATATGAAAAGAAAATCAAACTTAGGTGCTGAAAACAGTAACAAGAACTTAGTCGGCTATGCTACGGCCAGAAAAATATTTAACAATGCTGAAGAAGAGGAACTTGCCGAATATACTTAGCATTCTGCTAAAATTTATTACGGTCTTACAACTTCTGATTTAAGAAAATTTGCATTTCAGTATGCAACAGCCAACCAAATATCTGTTCTGGAAAATCGGTAGGTTAATGAAATTAATGAAATAGCTTCCAGAGACTGGCTATATGGATTTTTAAAGAGGCATCGAACTTTATCAGTCCGGACACCTGAAGCTACTAATATGGGTCGAGCTACCGCGTTTAATCGTCATAATGTGTCACAGTTTTTTAACAATTTCGGCAAAGTTTATGATAAATATAAATTTGAGCTCCAAGAAGTGTACAATATGGACGAAACTGGACTTACAACTGCCCAAAGGCCTACAAAAATAACTGCAAAAAGGGGAACTAAGCAGGTAGGTGCTATCACATCTGAAGAAAGAGGTCAACTTGTTACCTTGGCATTAGCTGTCAACGCAACTGGAAATTTTGTACCTCCATTTTTAATATTTCCGAGAAAGAAATTCAAAGATGTTATGGTAGCCAATGGACCACTGGTTGTGTAGGTGTGTCTCATTCCTCTGGATGGATGACATGTGATAACTTTTTGTTGTTTATGAAACATTTCGTCCAGTTTGTACGATGTAGCAAAGAGAAACCCGTTGTGATGGTATTAGATAATCACGAGTGTCATTTGTCTATTCCGGTGTTGAATTTTTGCAAAGAAATCGGAGTGGTTCTTTTAAGCTTCCCGCCACATACATCACACAAGTTGCAGCCGCTTGATCGGACGGTATTTGGCCCTTAAAAGATATTTTAATAGTGCTGCAGATGCATGGTTAAGATCTAATCCCGGTAAAGTAATAAACATTTGCGATATATCTATCGTTCTTAAAGATTCATTTCCTCTTGCTGTTACACCTCTCAATATACAAAAAGGATTTAGTGTGACAGGAATTTGGACATACAACAGAGAAATTTTTCAAGATGATGAATTCTTGCCTGCAGAGGTAACAAATAGGCCAATAACAGAAAATATAAACGCAACAGTAGTCATAGATCCGGCACCTATTGGCACCGAAACACATAGAACTCCTTCCCAACAGCAACCTTCTACAAGCACAGATTTTAACTTGGCGATAAATGAAGCTGTCGATTCACCTACTCATATAACGCCCCAGGAGTTGAAGCCTTATCCAAAAAAAAAATGCCAAGGAAATCCAAAGGGGGTCGGAAGAAAAGAACGTTCGCTGTTTTGACTGATACTCCCATTAAATCAGCTTTGGAGGAGGAAGAAAAGGCAAGACAAAGAAAAAAAAATGTGGGGGCAACCAAAAGAAACATATCAGGTGAATCAAGAAACAAGATAAAAACTACTGTTAAAAAATGTAAGAAACGGTCCGTCATTACCAAAAACACCTTCAAAAAATCAGATTCTGAAAGCTCGGAAGAAGATGAGGAATCGACGTGTCTGGTATGTTTAGCTCCATTTTCGAAGTCCAAAAACGAAGAATGGAATCGGTGCATTGTGTGTCAAAAGTGGGCACATATTGCTTGTGGAAAAGACGATGATTTTTATATTTGTGTTCACTGCTCGTCCGATAGTGACTAGTTTAACATTCTTGTAAACATTTTGTGTTATGTTTATAATATTTTTTGTAGCTAATCAAGGGTTCTTTCTGTGACCACTAAATAATGTTGTGGGAAGTTTTTAGAATTTTTTTTTCTATTGTAACATCTTACCCCATGGACTGTAACAATTTGCCTCATAGTGGGGTATGTTGTTACAATTTACAAGTTGAGTTAAACTGATAATAACAAAATGTTAAATATGATTTTTTAAATAAATTAAAATTAACTGTTTGTGTAAATGTATCAACTACCTTAATCCGATTTAACTTTCATATAAAAGATCTACTATTGCCCAAATAAATAATAGAATAAATTATGTAACAACTTGCCCCTCTCACCCCTATTTAAATTATTTAAGTTATTTAAAAAATTATGTGGTAAAAAACACAGACTTAAGGGATAATGCATATACTGACAAAAACAAGAGATTTCCAGAAATGCAATCATTGAAGTTTAATAACAAAATTACATTATATTATACCATTATTATCCATAATGTTACAGCGTCATTAGTTTACAAAATTAGTAATAAAAAAAGTTAAAACCAAACATTGATCATAAATTAAACGATATCCAAGCAGGAATCACGCGAAACTGTTAAATATGGATCGTATAATATGTACCCTGAAAAGTTTCTTTAAAAAGACTACTGAATAGGAAAAGAAAACAAACATTAGCTTTGTGACTTTTGACAATGTGTTCGATGGAGTAAATTATTTGCACGTTAAGAAAACAAACAAAAACTTTATTAGCCTGAATAAAATATTCCACAAAAATGGAACATAATAGAAGGTTTACAGAGAACAAAAAGATAGAAACAGTCAAAGAGAAATGCCTATTTCCTCAGATGTTATTTTCGTTGTTAACCATAGTTAAGACAATGAAAATAGTAAAAGATGGAAAAACGGGAGTAACATACAATATGAAAAGGAAACTAAAAATCTCAACGACAAAATGATATTTATAAAATACGAAAAGTTGCAAGATTTTTGAAGGGATGGGCGAACAAGACTAACAAAGATCTCTTTAAAGACGTTTAAGCAGTACTTCTTTGTAAATGGGATAGCAGGCAAGGAATTTGTATACATAGAAAAATATGGAAATATAAAGAATAGATGTAAACTTATAATTACTGAAGCCGACACAGACAAAAATAAAGACGATGATGATGTTTAATCTTTCATAAATATAGTATAGGTAAAACAGATCATTATATCTGTGGTTATATTATTTATTTACTGTAAAGAATAAACTAAAAATTAATAAAAAATTAAATATAAATTTAAACTTACCGAAGCATAATAGAATTGAAATAATACAAAATTTCATTATATTGCAGTAATTGTAGTATGTACTTAATTATACCGAAAATATGTATGAATTTGAATTTATATTACTCTTGTTGTGCTATTTTGTTTTAATCTACACAAATGGTAACCTTTGATAACTTTGATGATATTTATATTATATCTATATCAGGTTATGTAAATATATTATTATTAAAAATACGTTTTTTTTATTTACAATATACAAATACATTACTTCGTCAACTATGACCATGGGTACAGGAACACTAACATTAAATAATATATATTAAATAAACAAAATAAGTAATAATTATATTACTTTGAATTATGACACATAGGGTAACAGGTTAACTGATTGACCACTTAAGTAATTACCGGTTTATTTAAAATTGTAAATTGATATACAGTGAAACTTGGATAATTCGAACCTCACGGGACCGTTAAAAAGATTCGAATTATCCAAAAATTCGAATTATCCAAAAATTCGAATTAAAAATATATCCACAAAAAACAAAGATGCCTACAAAAACATCTGCAAACGATAAAAATCAACAATAGTTGACCATTTTTATCACTTGCAGATGTTTTCTGCAGAGATATCGAAATATTTTATCGTTTGCAGAATTATCCAAAAATTAGAATTAAAAATATGTATATCCACAAAAAACAAAGATGCCTACAAAAACATATACAAATGATAAAAATCAACAATAGTTGACCATTTTTATCGCTTGCAGATGTTTTAGTTACTATTTTTGCCCGAATTTTGTCAACCGAAAAAATAAGCCAACAAAATTGGACCAGAATACCAATTAAAGCATTTGCAAGCTATAACAAATGGTCAATTATTGTCGATTTTATCATTTGCAGGTTTTCTCATTGGTATTTTTGGCCAAATCTTAGCCGAAACAATCGGCAGATAAAAAATTCCCAGTGAGAACGCATCATTAAAACAATGAAACATTTTGTCTCAAAAAATTTATTGAAAATAAGAATACATATTTGTTACAATTAATGAAAATAGACTAATTTTTTCTAAAGAAATTCAAAATTTTTAGCTGCTTTTTAGAATTTAACGTCTCAGTAATGTCAAATGATTCTAAGATGTTCAGTGAACTAAAAATAGAGTGACTTACATCATTTTTACTTTCAAAGTACCGTTTAAGTTGCATAATATGGTGTGTTGCTTCGGCCGCACTCGGAACATGTATTTCTCCCGCAACTGATGATGCGTCGTCTTCATCACTCTCTTGTTTTTCATCATTGTACTTAAGCACTTCAGCGATGATCTCTGTATCAATTATTTCACCACATACTGCAACATCTTCATCCACGTTGACAAAATCTTCATAAGAGATGGCAGGATCATAAATGATGTCCCCCCAGCAGTCAACTGAAAGAAGCTCTTCTGTTAAATTGTCGTCTGTGTTCTCCTCCTTTTTTATGAAACCAGCTCTTTTGAAACATTGTTTGATCGCTTTGGGTGTTACTTGGTCTCAAGCTTTCTTACACATTCGAGATGCTTGTAGAATGTCTAACTTTATTTTAAGGGTGTCGCAATCTTCCATCATTATGTTTTCAACCAAAAAACGTCTGTAAAAATGTTTAAAATTTATTATGACACCCTGGTCCATAGGTTGGAGAACTGAAGTCATGTTAGCAGGAAAAAAAATAACTTTTACATTTTCCATCAGTGAGATAGTGGTGTGTGCCGTACAATTGTCAATAAACAAAATAACTTTTCTTTTATGAACTTTTTGTCTAATTTTTTCAGCCAGTCTCGAACAGATCACTAGTCATCCAAACTCTTGCGCTACTCACATATTCCACTGGTTTTGACTTGACGTTCTTAAAACAACGCGGATTAGCCGACTTGCCAATCATCAGTAGAGGTAGTCTTTCTGATTCGTCCATGTTTGCACCTATTAGGAGAGTTACTCTTTCTTTACTTAGTTTTCCTCCGTGACATTTTTCATTTTTAAATGCTACCGTTTTGTCAGAAGTGCATTTAAAAAAGAGACCCGTCTCGTCAACATTAAAGATATCTCTTTCATCTTTTCCCTGAATCATCTCTTCCAAATTTTTTTCCACTGGTTGGCTTCTTGCTGATTAACGGTCCCACTTTCTCCACAAATAGATTTGAAAGAAATTTTGTTGCGTTCTTTAAAGCCGTCGAGCCACCCTGTACTCGCCTTAAAATTGTTTTTCCTCATTTCATTAGCAAATTGTTCAGCTTTGCTTCTTATAAGGGGACCACTTACGGGAATCTTCTTATACCTAGCTTGTTTGAACCATTTTAACACACAACTGTCTAAATTTGGATTTTCTGGCTCCCTTAACCTTTTTCGATCTTTACCGCACTCACTTTCACTGTTGAGAATTTTTTCTTTATTCTTCAAGTAGGTGGATAATGTGTTAGGAGGAATTCCAAAGTCCCTGGCAATCTCAGTTTTTTTCCTCGTCCTCTTTTCTACTTTTCTAATCGCCGCTATTTTTTCCGATAACGTTAAAGTTTTTTATGTTTTCGTATTACCATGCGACGACATCTTTACTCAATATGAAGTGACTTGACGTGATTTGCGGTGATTGCAATTGCAACGTCAACGCATCTCAACTGAAGGAACGTGCCAGATGGGCTCGAATTTAGGTGACAGGTACGGGTACAATGTACAATGGCCTTGAATCCCTTGAAACAACTGGCACGTTAGAACAGAAAAGAATACTACCTCTTTTAGCGGAAATTTCCAGCGTGAAATTGGCATTTTTAACTTGTAGAAAAGTTCGAATTATCCAAAATATAATTCGAATTATCCACGTCTTTTTAACACTACTTATATAGGAAATGCTAGGGACCAGAATAAAAATTCGAATTAAAGAAGATTTCGAATTAACGAAGTTCGAATTAAGCAGGTTCTACTGTATTTTAAATTGAAAAATTTTTGAGTTTTTTAATAGAAATGAAACAGTAAATTTTATCAAAACTAAGGTTATTTTAATCAAAAATAATAATGTATATCAAAAATTACCACAAATTTAAAGACTTACAGAACTACACAGTTATTGGCCATACAGACATAGTTTTTGGTATATAGAATTACAATCAATGGTCTTTCATAAAATTCCTAATTTTTTTTTTGTTTGTGCAGATAAAGGCACACAAAAATATTTAAATTTCCGTTGTTTGTTGTTTCTTTGCATTATGATAGCCTCTAACACAAAATAGACCTTTTATTACAACTTTTGATTTAGATAAATATTATAAGAACAAGAATAAAACAATCCTCTATACAAAAGGTTATTTACAGATGGGTTGGTGTCGTCTGATTGTTTCACCGTTGTATATGAGAGAATTTGTATTTTTTATATTCTGGATATACCTTAGTTTTATAAAATATCTTTCTCATAGCCGACTCATCAGCACGTTTTTCTTTACTGGTTTCCAAATTGGTACATTTGCTTTGGGATGTCTTATTAAAATTCGATGAATTCATATGGTTGCAGACATCAAAAAATATGTTATTAATTGTGGGCTGATTAACGTTTTCCCCTCCAAAATCAATAAATTGGTTTCGTGACAATTATTCTTTTTCTTTGCGGTAAATCACATCTGGTATACATATATACTCTAACTCAACTTTTCAAAGTAGTTCTTTTAGTTGTCTGATCAATAAGTATGGCTTTCAAAATAGTTGTCTCTGCAATATCACCTATATTACTGAACCAATTTTTTATTATTTAACTCTGGTTGCAATTTTTTTTAAATACTTTTATCTTGGTTTCCTTTTTTTGACCTTTATTGTTTGCTTTGCAGCAATTCGCTTTTGTTTCTCAGAATTACCACTTTTCTTTCCTAAAACACATTTTGGACCATTATATGAGTCATTTACACCAAAAGGGTATCTAATAATAGGTAAAGGGATTTACACTAATCATTATCAAGTTCTTCATCATTAATTTCTTCAAAATTTCCTTTTATTTAATATTATAACTCACTGATCATAATAGTAAACATCATACATTGAAAGAATACTGACGACTTACGGTTAAATGCTCGAATATATAAGCTGCATGTCCCACAAATCTCAACAAAAATACATTTAAATTACTATTATATTATTAATATAATTTCTTTAAAATTCCGTAAAAGTCTTTAACTTAAGCCGACATAATATTATCACCACTGGATTGTACCACATTCACATCTTTGGAGCGAAAATAAAGATAAATCGGTGGGCAACTTTTTGCATTCAATTTGAAACGGGCCAGATTTGTAAACAAAATTAATGGTGGTAAAATGAACATTGCATTTTGTATACAAAGAAACTTCATTTTCAACTTACATAGAAAATGAAAAAATTGAAACTCAGAAAATATTAACAGGAATATATTCAGGTTTGTTACTTGGGGATTGTTAAGGTTGCTGAATACGAATATTAAAAAAAAGATGGTCTTTAAGCTGCTTGGTGCCCAGGATGAACCTAGTCTTCTGGAGTGTGTTAAATTAATTCTAAATAAGTCGACAGTCATAACTTGGGTAATTTAGTGGCCAAGCCCCCTTTATACTTTGTGACTTTACAAATCTAACGATATCTGTGCCCTGCATTAACTCATCCAGCTCATAGTTCATTTTTATTCTCCATGAAACATCGCTGCAATGGGTTGGTCCAAATATCTTTCTCAATATTTTGCGCTTAAATATTGTATTCCTAAAAGCACTTTTACCACTAATTGCTGCTTGATGATAGTTAGTTTGAAGAAAAAACACACTTAAATGCTAGTCACTTCTTCTCCTTCGTGTACCAATGCTTTTTAAAATGTTGGTTAGCATTACACTTATTTTAATTTTATTCCCTGGCATCCTTAATACCATTCTTTTATCAATAATATAGCAATATAGCAAGTTCTTTAACCACGAAATTTTTTTGTTCTGTACTACGTTTGGCCGCTCTTTTACCTGGGATAATATTTTGTTGCAATCTATATTAGGAACCTCTTATTACATGTCCGAAGTACTCCAGCTTTCTTTTCTTGGTGATTTTTATAATTTCATTGTTTTTGCTAATACGTTCTTGTATTGTGGAGTTTCTTCACTCAAGAAATATTCCTATATAGCAC